AAATGCAAAAATGTAATTAATTTTGATTTTTAGCATTTAAAATAAAAAATTATTTTAATTAAGTTTACAACGCTAGGTTAGATCCTGTGATTTGCATCCGGGTATACTACATGGTGGATCTACTATAACGGGGGGGGTCTTGTATCCGGTAATCATGTTTTTGTCTACCAATAAAAGTACTTTGAGTATATCTGTTAATCATTCATAAATTTGGAAATTTTTCAGCGATATTTGGCATACCAAATCATAGGTGTTCACATATTACAAAATAAAATCTGATATGGACAAACAATACGCGCTACACTTTACAATACTGCATATAAAAAAGTTCTAAAACACATGGTAAAAGTGATCTACCACGTGATATATTCTATTTTGGCGATTCGAAAAATTAAAAAATTACTTAGTCAGCCATACTTTTATCTAGAAAAGCTTATTCATCGTCATGTCTTTTTTTGTACCGCCCCGATCGTCATTATGTGAAAGCCTTAGCAATTTTCGTATATTGTGAGAATTGCTTAGACGTGAACTCCTTTTATTCCTTGATTCTTGAAATTTTTTATCGGCTTCTCCTACCAATAGCTGCAAAACAAAATGTAAACCAGTAAAAAAAAGGAATTTCTCACAAACAGCAGTGATGACTTACTGCCCAAGTTACAATTGCGCGATAAAAAGAGGAAAATTGCAGGGTTTCCTTCCATCATGGTTTTTCGATACGTAGAGGCTTTGATAGCCTTGCCACCTCTGCAAGAATATGGATAATTGTTGCTATAAATTAAGAAGGTAAGCTGATGAAAATATATACTTACGGAACATATCTAATATCGGAAAACCGGGTCAATGCATTTTTTAAAATCGGATTAATATAAGTATTCATGTATTCCTCTTCTGTCATTTCTTTATTTTTAAGTGGATTATCAGACATTAATTTGTAGGAGTCAAAACTAGAAATTATAAAATACATATTAGTATATACAAACAAAGATGCATTCATTGAATTCTTACAAAATCGGTAACGTTTCTATTATTAATCTTTTTAACTTTATTATAAATTTATTTTGCCCTGCATTATCTTCCATCAAGCTTTCGATTTTATCCTCCCATTGTTGTTCGCTTAGTTTCTGTAAATAAGATGATGTAAGACAAAAAATTTAATATCTTTATCAAATCGGACAGGTCACATTTTTATTTCTTTGAATTAATACTTGATACGATGGTATATGATTTACAATCCGCCAACGAAGCACTAACTAAATAAGTTACCTCTGAAAAGAAATCGATTAGAAAGTCATCGGCCTCTTTTGGAAAGATTTTGTCAATAGGCTCAAAAACCTTTTCGATTAACAAGTCATACTCCACTTCTTTTAGGCACAAGAGAACAAATTCAGAAGATGGTCTTAAATCCATAATTTCATTTTCCGAAAGAATATTCTTTGCTTCATGTTGATAGGTTCTAAAAGCGGCTAGAATGGTGCTAAGTTCCTGTGAACAGGTCTCTGATTCATTCAAAAGATTTCTAACTTCGGTGTCATATTCAACACCTCCTTCTTGATTGTTAAATAAATCAGACTATTCAAGAAATTAAAAAGTTAGTCAATTATTCTAATGTCTATTTAAAAATTTTAATTACCAGTAATAAGTTTTATACCTCCTCGTTGTTTTTATTTTCTTCTATGTCGCA